AAGGTGTATTTGAGAGCTAGAGAGAGAGAGAGCGTGTACTACTTTTTGGCCCCGTTGTTGTACGTTTTAAGCTTGCTAGTTTACTGCCGTGTTTATTACGTGCTTGTTAGTATACACAGGTGATTTTTATATGAGAGCCAACTACGCGGTAACAACTCTCTGCAGCTAAGTTAATAGACTTAGCTGCAGAGAGTTAAAATCTTGCCTAAATTTCTATGTTATTTTTTTGGCTGTATGCTAATCTCCTTATTCTATATAAGTTTAAATTTTTACCTTGAAATCTTGCCTCAAATCAAACGGCGAACCCTAGGTGTGCCCAGACCGGGCTCACCGATAATCTAGGACAACTGAGAGTCTATATTCTTTGTTTCTCCGCATCTCACCAGTCAGTTTATTGACAACAATGCTCGTTTCAGCACTCTTTTCGAAGCTCTATTCAATCCGCGGGCCACTTTGGGCACACCCACAGAATTAAAACGATAAGTGCAATCTTCACAAAATTTTACTTGTGTACTCCTCTAGGCCTGATTGAACTGCCTACCATTTTATTTGTCGAAATTGTAAACTTTAAGAGGTAGCGTGCCGGAAAGGGATAATGGATTATAACCATTAAGATATCTAGATCTTGTTACTGCAGACGACACTTTCGGGAGCATTTAAACCAACGTGTACAACAATTCACTCGTTGGAAGAGTTGAGAATAAACATCGCTGCTGCCATCTAGGTTGCAAATAAAGAAAAGTTTTGTAAAGTTCCCAGGAACACGCGGAAGCATATAGACAAGTACACTTATAAGGTACACTGCTCAAAAAAAAAAAAAAAAAAAAAGAGGGGGACAGTGCTATATCTCCCGTTCTACTGGGGCCGATTCACGAAATTCAAAATTGCGTTCTTTCATGTCTCGAAAAGCATGCGACTTAGGATATATATTAGATTTATATATAGCACTATTCTAACATAGGTATTTTGACACAAAAATCGGACTTTTTCTGAAATAACATACCAATTTTTTTACATATTTCGATTCTACGACTCAAATTATGCCAGAATACCAAGTTTTATAAAAAAATCGTACGAGTAGTTTTTGAAATATTAGCTCTCAAAATTTTAGCTCCTCAATGTTAATTGAATTTGGCAAATGTTTATTTATATCTCTTTTTTTATTAAACTTTTTGATTTTTTTCTCTCACATTTCGAAATTTTTAGGTTCATTCCAAATAAAATTTACCCATTTTTTTGTGTTTTATTTTTTAAATTTCTATTTTTAAATAATTTTTATAAATTTTTCGAAAAAAAAAAAAATTTTGAATTATAACCTATAAAATTTTTACCATCATCTTAAAGTAGGTATATTTTAAGCATATCTGCAAAAAATTAGACTTTTTTATTCAAAAATTTTTCTAAGATATACACACATTTACATATTTCGCGTTTTGAAATTTGGCATCTTATTTTTGAGCGATAATAACGCCAAATGTGGTCTATGGATTTTGTTACAACACTGTATTGCCACAGCTATTTTTTAACCTTAAATTTCAAGTAAAATTTTACGGAGAATAAATTATATGACATTTTTTCCCCTCAATGATGCGTAATAAATATTAAGTAATACTATATGAAAAAGCTATTTTTATAAATAAATTTTTTAATAATTTTTTAATTTCTCTCTATCTTTTTTTTTTTTTTTTTTTTTTTTTTTTAAATAATAAGAGTAAATTTTTACCTTCGGCGTTTTATCGTCTGCTACTTTACTTCGTTTAAATCGAATTGTCTAAAACTGAGAATTTTCGTTTGATGTTTATTTGAATTTTATGACATTAACTGCACAATTTATTTCTAAATAAACTGATGCTTTTGAAGTGGCTGAAAGAGCGGCTGGTACTATCATCCATATTTTTAAAGCACAGTATATTTTTATAGAAACATAAGATTTAGAATATTCATTTTTATAAAATCAAATAATGATATAAATATACAACCCTCTAGAGACTGAATTAATGGAAGTTCAATGGTTATGTAGAAATGATCTGCAGCTACTTAATCGCTGGATAAGTCAGCAGATTCCGTGGACAAGTAAGAATAATTATATAAACGACGCCCAACATTCTGAATTCAATTAACAACGAGGATACGATGTTTATTAAATGAAGAAGTTTTAAAACATAAAAAATCAACTCATTTTTTATCCTAAAATGTATTTTTGTGCGTAGCGTATTTTCATTATTCTAATTTAAAATTCTAATAATTCTTAAAATTCTAATTTAGAATGTAATTGTCAAGAACTGATTCCTAATCATCAGTAATATAATAAGTTATTATTACGGTTATTAATAAATCCTTCTTATAAAGTAATTGCAATATTTTTTTCAAAAAAAACTTTCTGTCTGAATGCAAATATTTTCTGTGCAAATATTTTTAATTTTATATTAATCAAGATTGCACACGATATTATTTATTTGCACTTCAATTCTTAACGTCAGTTCTAGTAGAAGTTACAAATCAATTATATTTAATTAAGGATTGGATTGGATTGAATTGGATTATTTAATTATGGTAAAGCACACGAGGGCTATCTGGCTAAAGGGAGGGATGCCTTCCTGGAGGACTTTCTAATGGAAACTGGCTCGTATACACGTTACACACATCGGGAAAACCACGAAAACACCCATGCAACCAGCCTGTTCGCGGGATTCGAACCTCGGACCGAACTACCAGTGATCAGCGTCTTTACCGCTCGGCCGTTTGTGGGCCTTTATGAAATGGAAGGCGATAACTTTATTTAAAATGATTGTCAGAAATACCAAAATGTTTCGAAAAGTTAGATACTTTTTAATATACTTTCAGAATGCTTAAAGAAAAAGAGAAGAAAAATAAATTTTTTCGTAAAATTTAGTATTTGTATTTTTTTAATTTAAAACTTTTTCAATGTTATGATATTGATTCTTGCGATTTCAAAAATAAAATATTTGACTAAAATATGAATAACATTTTAAGAAACCAAATGTAGGATAAAATTGTGTAAAGCAATGGGCACAATGATAAAACTGTATGCAAGTCATCCTAAGTTAAAATGTCGGTTATACATCTCTCTTATTTATATATATCTTTTCTGAATGGAACATTGAAAGGCGTGTTAACTGTGCTTTACTGTATTTTCTCCTTTAATATATGCGCCCACCAGCGGCCGAGCGGTAAAGACGCTGAACACTGGTAGTTCGGTCTGAGGTTCGAATCCCGCGAACGGGCTGGCTGCATGGGCGTTTTCGTGGTTTTCCCCATGTGTAACGTGTATACGAGCCAGTTTCCCTTAGAAAGTCCTCCACGAAAGGCACCCCTCCCTTTAGGCAGATAGCCCTCGTGTGCTTTGCCATAATTAAATACACCAACACGTTTAATATATGCAGTTTTCAAACGCATCGTAGTCTGGGTTACAAAGTATTCTTCCGAAAGAAACGCAATTCAAAGAAATAAAGTCAAATTCTGGAAAATTTATATTAATAAATATATTTAAAATGCTCAGTTCGAAGGAATAAATAGAAAATTTTTAAATAATCACCTGAAGAGACAATGTAACACTAACAATTAAAATAATAGTCTAAAAATTTAATTAGTTAAAATGTCGGTTATACATCTCTCTTATTTATATATATCTTTTCTGAACGGAACATTGAAAGGCGTGTAAAACTGTGCTTTACTGTATTTTCTCTTTTACAGAGTACCGACGCAAACAATTAAAATAAAAGTATAAAAATTTAAAAATTACCTAAAATAATAACTATGACGAAATATATATATAAAGAAAACTATATGAAAAAAAATAAACACTGCACCTTTATTTACGCAGTTTCGAATAGGTAAATAGAAATTTTTAAAACAGTTATTTGAAAAAAAAAAAAAAAAAAAGTGCAACTTAAACAATTAAAATGAAATTTGAAAAAGAAAAAATTACTTAAAATAATAAGTTATAATTAAAAATATAATATAAAGAATATTATTTGGAAAAAAGGAACGATGGTGACTTTTTTTCCTCTCACGGGAAAGGAAACTAGGTTGCCATATATTAAGAAGTTCGCCAAGTAAAGTATTCTTGGCGCAAACTGACAAAAAAGTGCCAACATAAATATGTCAATTTCTCCGTAAATTTCGCTCCAAATTTTACAAAATTTCATATTTAGGCGTAATTTGAGTCGTAGAATCGAAATATGTAAAAAAATTGGTATGTTATTTCAGAAAAAGTCCAATTTTGTGTCAAAATACCTATGTTAGAATAGTGCTATATATAAATCTAATATATATCCTAAGTCGCGCTTTCGAGACATGAAGAACGCAATTTGAATTTTGTCAATCGGCCCAGTAGATCAGGAGATATAAGACTGCCCCCCCCCTTTCTTTTTTTTTTTTTTTTTTTTTTTTTTTTTTTTTTTTTTGTTTGAGCAGTGTACTTCTCCCTTCTTAGCATGCCTTCGTAGTGTAGTAGTTAGCACGCTCGGCTCGTATTCGAGAGGTCCGTGGTTCGAGTCCCGGCGAGGGCATCGCTCATTTTTCATCTCTCCTACTTTCGAAATAGCCTAATGTCTCTACAGTGGCGCCCGAACTAAAAAGGTGGTGAATGATGATTCTTCACGACCAGGATTTGCCGACTGGGTTCCCTAAAACCCCAGTCGCCCTTTAAAAGGGGGAGTATATAAGGTATTTCTTCCGCCTTCTTAGCATGCCTTCGTAGTGTAGTGGTCAGCACGCTCGGCGCGTATTCGAGAGGTCCGTTGTTCGAGTCCCGGTGAGAGCATTGCTTTTTCATTGCTCCTACTTTCGAAATAACCTAATGTCTCTACACACTGACTGAAAGACTGTTCGCTTCCAAATTATACTGTAGAATAATGTATGCCTCATAAGTTTCTGCATTTATTTCTTCTATATTGGCTCCAAATTTAAAATAAACAACCGTAATAGAATTTAGCATAAATTAGTGTATAGTATAAAGGACAAATATAAAATCTTACATCATATTTAGGAATGTGTCTGAAAATCTTGTGTTCTAAAGTTCCATAGTATATCTTCAGCAGCACCAGATTATGCCTGAAGTATATAAATATCACACAATTCAGTACATATGCAATTGAAATCAGCTTTAATAGACTGAATTAAACTAATTAAGACACAATAACACGCCGAATAAATACTAATTTAGAAGTTAAACAACATAAATGAGCGTTATATTTACAAAATTTTCACAGGACTAGTTTCGATGTTTTACCGAACCACCATCCTCAGCTGCAAAACAGCAAATGAACAAGATAGGAAATAATGATTAGATTAGATAAGAAAGCCTGGACAAGAATAAGCAAGTGGCGCCATCTGTTGGTGAAACCAGAACTAAAACAACATATATTTTGCAGAAATTTAACTTTCGGGTTGTTTATTCTCCCATCAATAAAATTCCGAGTTCCATACTTAAGGACCGCATTCCGGATATGAATTCCTGGGGTATTTATAGGATTCCTTGCCAGTGCGGTTTAATTTACATTGGCCAAACTAAGAGAGCCTTAAAATTTCGCGTCAAGGAACATGAGGCATATGTTAGAAAAAAGGAAACACAGAAATCTTCTGTTGATCAAAATTGTTGGTCCGAAAACCACACTTTCAATTTTTCTGCTGCCAAAATTATTCAAAAAACATCTTCCATTGGAGAACTGGATTTTCTAGAGGCATTTCACATTCATAAAAATCTTTCTGTTCTAGTTAACGATCCTAATTCCAATCCAAATTTGCCTTCGGCTTTTGTAGAAATTATGTTTTAGTTCTGGTTTCGCCAACAGATGGCGCCACTTGCTTATTCTTGTCCAGGCTTTCTTATCTTATCTAATCATTATTTCCTGTCTTGTTCATTTGCGGTTTTGCACCTGAGGATGGTGGTTCGGTAAAACCATCGAAACTAGTCCTGTGAAAATTTTGAAAATATAACGCTGATTTATGTTGTTTGACTTTTGAATTTGAATTAAAACTAATTAAGAACTTACATTTGCTCCTCCCAGCTTCGATTCCATGAAGAATGAACACTGTGTGCATACTGAAAAGAACAAGGGTAAAGCATTTTAATATTGCGACTGTTAATATACTTGACACTGAATATACTTTTAAAAACTAACAATAAACATCGAAAAATAATCAGCGCTTGACACTGAACATATTTTTCTCATTTGAGCGCTTAATTTCCAAAATTAGAAGTGCTGGAGCCCTATGTAAGATTGTCAGGAAGGAACAAAAAATAATAAATAAAAATTAATTAAATTTGGAAGCTTTTAGATTTTATATTACGCCCGAAGGGGCGTTTTTTAACATTTTATGTGTTACCTTTATGTATTAAATATCATGTTCTTCGCACTTAAAACCATAAAATTTAATTCAACAGTAATATCGCAAAATAGTTTTAAAACGAGCATATCTTTAAAATTTCCGATACAAAGACTGACGCGCTGGAGATAAAAATGTTTTTTTTTTTTTTTTTTCTTCCTCGTACAGTGTTGCCATTGCTCGCTTTGAAATTGTCGAGTTTCTTAATAAAATATTCATTAAAGTCTTACAAAATATGAAATCGATAATAAAACAAATTCCAAATTTGAGCTTCCAGATGCCCATGCTCGCAGTAGGATTACGTCATTCAAAACTGGATTGCTCCAGGTACTGTTGTTTTATCACAATGTCATATACATACATGTATGCAGATTCTTCATTCCTTAATTTCTTTAAATATAATGCAGGGCGATAATATTCGGTGGCAACAACTTAAAAAGTGATTCGCCGTCTATAGTGAATCGACGCGAAATGACAAAACGAAATTCATGCTTTCAAATATGAAATATTCATCAGTCTACTTCGTCGACAGCGCATAAACCACAATAGAATAAATGCATTCTTTAAAATTCACTCTAGTATTTGTTTACCATAGCGACACTCTGGCGCTAGATTCACTTAACACTATCATATTTCGTTCATATTATAACTCAGAATACACAAAATTTATATCATTTCAAGAATTATCTAATCGTTGCCACATGTTCTATTCAAATACACTAATAAACCTAGAACGATGTATAAAAGAAATTAAGCAAACAAAACAAAAAAGAAACAGTTTCTCACAGACGATTCAGTATTTCTGATTCAATTAATTCAGTTCTCACTTCGCGACAACGCAAAAATACATAAAAACTCAAAATAGCTGTATTAAAAATTACGAAGTAAATCTTAAACACTTATTTCCTCAAAAAAATTCCAGAAAGGATTAAGCACGGTTTAATTCGCAATAATAAATGAAGGCGTTATCTTTTTTGTTGCGAAGCTATGTTTCTCTACATTGGCAACAAATCCACTACTCTGCTGTTTCAAATGTAAACAAGCAACGATCGCTATCGAAAAAATTATTAGACTTAGCGGCACTTAAATAACTTTAAAATTGTTGATAATTCTAAAAATATTGCATACAGATTTACTAAAGGCATAGAAACCTTAACCGGAAGATAAGAACAACATAATTCAATCATTTTTTAAAGCAAAAAATGTACAATTTACAAACATATAAGAGTAAAGAAACTGAGATCACGGAGCCGGGTAACAGAGTGGATATATATATAAATATATTTATATACGTTTGGCGGGGCCGATTGCAACGAAAATACGAGGTGCACATCTACATGTTATAGCAGTCCTATATACAAAATTTCAACGTTCTGAGGCTACTCGTTTTTGAGTTTTGCGAGATACGTACGTACGTACGTACATACGTTAGTACAGACGCCACGAAAAATTCTCTTCAGAATTAACTTTAAAGCAGTTTTATAATTTTTTTTTTTTTTTTTTTTTTTTTTTTTTTTTTTTTTTTTTTTTGAAGGAAAAGAGTCTTTTATTCTGTCCTTACGTACAGATATCACGCTAAAACATCGTTAAATTGCATTCGATAGCGGTCAAAATGGATATTTTCGTTGAAATATGCTGCCTGAAACTTTTCGCGATTACAATACTTCCTTTTTACTTCGTACAAGGAAGTAAAAAAGGAAAGGAAAATATGTTGCTATAAATTAAGAAGTTAGCCAAGTGAAATATTCTTGGCGCAAACTGATAAATTCGCGAAGGTAAATTTTTTAATTTCTCCGTAAATTTTTAAATTTATCGCACCAAATTTTACAAAATTTAATATCTAGGCATAATTTGAAACCTAGAAACGAAATATGGAAAAAAAATGGATATGTTATTTCAGAAAAAGTCCGATTTTGTGTCAAAATGCTTATGTTAGAACAATGCTATATATAAATCTAATATACATCCTAAGCCGCGCTTTTGAGACATGGAAAATGCAATTTGAATTTCATCAATCTGCCAAGTAGAACGAGAGATATAGAACTGTCTCCCTTTTGTTTTTTCGCAGTGTACATATATATTAATAAAAACGTGAAATCGCTAATCTTTGTTTCAATGCAGAGGTAAAAAAATCAGAGATAACGGTATGATAATTTTTAAAACTTTTTGTCTCAAGAAACGCCCCATTCCAATACCTAAATGTTAATCATACAGTTTTTACTACTTAAAAAAAAATAAAGAAAAGAAAATATATAAAATTTCCAACTGCTTACTATATCTCTTAGCATCAATTCTCTGCTTCCAACTGTAACAGCAAAACCAGTATCCCTGAAAGAAAAGAAAATGTATGTTGTTATCAATTATTCAATACTGAGTTATGCGAGGTCAGTATTCAATACTGAGTTATGCAAGAAAATCTGTATTGAATCCATTCTGTGTGTGTGTGTATTTAATTATGGCAAAGCACACTAGGGCTATCTGCCTAAGAGGAGGGATGCCTTCGTGGAGGATTTTCTAAGGGTGTATTTTTGGTGTATTGGTGTATTTTAATTATGGCAAAGCACACTAGGGCTATCTGCCTAAGAGGTGTTTGGTGTATTTAATTAGGGCAAAGCACACTAGGGCTATCTGCCCAAGAGGAGGGATGCCTTCGTGGAGGACTTTCTAAGGGAATCTGGCTCGTATACACGTTACACATGGGGAAAACCACGAAAACACCCATGCAGCCAGCCCGTTCGCGGGAATCGAACCTCAGACCGAACTACCAGTGTTCAGCGACTTTACCGCTCGGCCGCTGGTGGGCCCTGCCTAAGAGGAGGGATGCCTTCGTGGAGGTCTTTCTAAGGGAAACTGGCTCGTATACACGTTACACATGGGGAAAACCACGAAAACACCCATGCAGCCAGCCCGTTCGCGGGATTCGAACCTCGGACCGAACTACCAGTGTTCAGCGACGTTACCGCTCGGCCGCTGGTGTGCCCTTGAATCCATTCTGAATCAGTTTTATAATTCGTTTGGGAAAAAAGAGTCCTTTATTCTGTCCTTACGTACGGATGTCAAGCAAAAACATCGTCAAATTGCATTCGATAGCGGTCAAAGTGGATATTTATGTTGAAATATGGTACCCGGAATTTTTCGTGATTACAATGCTTCCTTTACTTCGAACAAGAAAGTTTAAAAAAAAGGGGGGAGTAAAAGAAAAAATACCTGAAAGTTTTCTGATTTTATATTACGCCCATAGGGGTAATTTTTTTTTTTTACTTTATGTGTGTTATCTTTATTTATTAAATATCATGCTCTTCCACTGAAACCATAAAGTTCAATTCAACAGCAAATATCACAAAATACTTAAGAATTTCCGATCCACAGTCTCGCTCGCTGGAGATAATTTCCCCACTCCGAAGACTGTTGCAATTGCTCGCTCCGAAATCGTTAAGTTTCTGGATCAAAATTTCTTTTAACGTTTTACAAAATATGAAAGAGATAATGAAACAAATTCCAAATTCGGACTTCCAATTGCTCATAATCCGATGGAAACGAACGTTATTGAAAATTGAATGGCTCTAGGTAATGTTATTTTATCACAATTGCGAGAAACACACATATACTTATGCAAATTCTTCATTACTTAATTTATTTAAATATAATACAGGGCTCTACTATTTGGCGGCAACAATTTAAAAAGTGTTGCACCGTTTATAGTGAATCAACGCGAAATGCCAAAACGAAATTAATAGCCCTTCTGAGGCAAATTGACCTTTTGGGCTAATAATTATTATATCAATAAATGTAATAAATCTTAGTGAAATTAAACATAAGAAAGTCCATCTTCTAATTAATTATAATAAAGTATACTTGTATCGTAATCTTTATACTTCAGTAACTGCATATAATTATTGCTTCGGTACATGGTCTAAAGAAGCAGTATAATATCACTGTATTGCATCATTACATTATTTATAATATTCAGTGTGCAAGGTAAAACTGTACAGTATATAATTTATAATTAACTGTTTTCAAGTAACATGTAGTTATCATTGCTGTAATGATTAATTAATGGTGTAATTTAAATGTTTGTGTCACTTGGCTAGTGAGGTTTATAATATAAATGGTATTTTTATTAATTTGAGCAATAATATTGAAATTTTGAATAATTATATAGATTTTGTTCTAATAAGCGCATAGCATAGAATTGTTTGTATTGAATCATTGCATTAGAATAATCGTATATAGAATCATAGTATTGAATTATTCATGAGTAATCGTACGGTATCAATTGTATTGAATTATTTATTTGTATAGTATTTCCAATGTGCAAGTAGAATTGTACTGTACGTATCTTATTATTGAATTTCTTGCTAGTAATATGTAACACCATTTCAGTAATAAGCACCTATAGGAAAAATTATTATTTTGATGTCAACATGGCAGATATGATTAATAATATGAATAGTATTATCATTAATTTAAGTAATAGTATTGAATTATTGTATATTTATAGTGAATCATTGTTTTAATATTCGCATATAATCATTGTTTTGAATCATTGCATTTTAGAAATTGAATAGAATTAATGTTTTTATAGTGTATTTATAGTCTAAGTCCAATTATTCATTTAACTGTATTAATATCCAATAGTATTATCATTAATTTAAGTAATAGTATTGAATCATTGTATATTTATAGTGAATCATTGTTTTAATATTCGCATGTAATCATTGTTTTGAATCATTGCATTTTAGAAATTGTATAGAATTAATGTTTTTTATAGTGTATTTATAGTCTAAGTGTAATTATTCATTTAACTGTATTAATATCCAATTTTAATATAATAACTGTGTCTTTAGTAGTAAGCTGTTATATAAAAGTTATATATATAAAAGTTAACAATGGCATTCAGAATAATTAGAGACTTATGTGAGATCTAAGCATTTTTATACTTCTCCACTATAAATTTGAGTTGGCAATGTATGAAATATAAGCATCTGTATGTTATTCGGTTTTTGTATACTGAGTTTAAATGTTGAATTTTGCATTAGTAAATTCATGTTGACAATGTCGTCACTTATCAATCACAACAGTATAATATAATCTTTATGTATGATATATCTTCTTTATGTATTGAATTGTAAACTTTATATGTAACTTGCTAAAATTACTTGCTAGGGTACTGAATTGTAATCTTATGTGTCACTTGCTAAAGTTTTGTTCATAAGTACTGTTTTCACACAGATGTAACCATTTTTAATATCTATTGTTTTGTAGCACTAATCAATGTGCCCTATGAGTGGATCTCGTGTGGCTCTAACATGGGTCAGCTTTAGATAAGGGTGGACGTGGCGCTAAACCAATTAACCATAATGGTAAAGGGGTGGTGCCCACGTCCTCCGTCACTAAACTAAACTAATTATAATAAAGTGATAATTTTTGTGCAAGCCTCAAAAATGTTCCTAAAATTATGATTTTCAAAATTTAACACAACATGTATATTTTACCATTTATTTACCTGCAAGGAAGACCACAGATAGTTCTGCAATAATTCTTTGTTCTCAGTTCTTCTGCTTTTGAGCAATCCTTTTCTTCTAAAGGGAGAAAAAAGAAATAGAAAACGAATATGGTGCTTAGTTATCTTTTTCGCTACATTCAACAGAAAGCAAAAGAAGTAATAAAATAATACTGACCTTGGGTAACTTTCTTCGCGTCAAAAGGTAGTTTCTCATAGAAAACACTCACATTTTTTGTCACAAAGTTACATTTCAGACTCTGGTAGTAACTTGAACAACCAACTGTGCATATCTATAAAGGTGGATGAACATATAAGCAATTGAAAGAAAGAAAAACTCAGCAGATATTTCAAAATTAAATTTTAAGGATTTTACTTGTGCTGCGATACATATTTTTCATACAAGAAATAGCTATTAACTGTAACCTTATTCACTAAGTTTATAAGGTATTTCTCCCGCCTACTTAGCATGCTTTCGTGGTATAGTTGCCGGCACACTAGGCACGTTTTCGAGAGGACCGATATTCGACTCCCGGTGGGGGCATTGCTCATTTTTCACGTCTCCTGCTTCGAAATAAACTAATGTCTCAACAGTGGCGCCCGAACTAAAAGTTGGTGGATAACGATTCTCCACCACCAGGATTTGGCGATTGGGTCCCCTAATTCCCAGTAGCCCTTTAAAAGGGGGAGTGAATAAGATATTTCTACCGCCATCTTAGCATGCCTTCGTGGTGTAGTGGCCTGACTCTAGGAGTTTGTAAAAAAAAAAAAAAAAAATTCTCAAAAAGGCTATGAACTTGAAATTTCCTCCTCTCGATTTTCTGACAATAAAATAGATACAAATATCTGATGTGGACACCACATAACTTGTACGGCTTATTAAATTTCAGCCCTTGGTTTAAACTTATTTCTTCGAATTTAATTACAGACATATTTCGCATTCAGTCAGTTCAGTTCTCTGTTCGCGGAAAGGCAAAAATAGGTAAAACTAAAAACACCTTCATTAAATTTGTAAACCACAGACAAATCGAACACCAAATACATTTAAATACAGTTTAAAAAACAATTTTGTAATTAAAATTAGAGTTTCTAAGCCAAAATAAGCGATCCGGCCAATGGGCAAGAAGACAAACTTTTCGGTGTTCAAAACTGAAGGTTAACTTTTGGTCCCACTGTGCAGAAAGACACTGAAGTTAGTGCACCAACAGATTTAATTCACTATTCTACTCAGAGTTTCAAATGTAATGCAGCCTCATTAGGCTTAGCAAAACTTAAAGCACTATATTTTTGATAATTCTACGACTATTGCATGCAAATTAACTAAGATATGAAAACTTTAACCGGAACATAAGAACAACATAATTTAATTACTTTCAAAGTAAAAAATGCAGTTTATCAACATATAAGACTAAACATACTGAGCTTGCGAAGACTGGTAACACAGTGAATACATATTGTTACGGTTTTCATGTTTATTTAGCTATTTTTAATAGAATTTGTATTTAAAATTGTTTTATATTCCTATGCAATGCAGCACGAGACTTATCTGAAGAGACACCTACGCCGAAAAAATTCAAATAACGCGCTTTTAACATTTTAATAAATAGGTATCTCGTAATTGTACTCTTGCTATCCAGAAAAATCGAGAAAATACGAGAATGTTCTCGTGCATTTAAAAAACTCATAAAAGCCGGAAGAAAAAATCTCAATTCAGTTGTTTAGAAAACTGTTGTTTACTGCAGCGAATTCGCGGTGAAATCGGATTACCTTTCTCTGTTTTGAATTGTGTTCTGTAAAACATTTTAGTAATTTAAAACATAACTACTGTGAGATATTGCTATATTGTATGATTCTCCCTGAGGAAATTTAAGCATTTTGTATTTATTCTTGGGATAAGAATAAATTTTATTCCCTTTAATCGGACTTGTGAATTCAATTCACAACGAACCCGTACGCATGCAACAATATATATATGTTACGGTGAAACACCGAAATCTGGAGAATGTCGACTTTCACTGGTGAATGTCAACATTCACATAGTCTCTTGGTGTACGTCCGAAATATTGTCCAAATACTCTTATTTCTGACTTACACCGGTCAATGTCGACATTCACCATGTACTAATGGTGAATGTTGAACATATAACAATATTATATTTTCTTCTCCGTCATTCAGTCGCGAATAAACGCACTTGAGACTCGAAATAAGAACTTAAGAACATGAGAACCTAAAACACACAATACATTCAAAATGAGAAAGGAAAATAATAGAAGTTAAAAACTTACTTAATTATACAATACGTTCTAAATGAGAAAATAAAATAACAGTCATAAAAAACTTACTAAATTATGTGATTCAAATCTTATTTATTGCAACAACTTAAACTATTATGGCACTTTATAACCTCTCTTTTCGACTTTCACCAGAGCATATCTGTGATTGTCGACATACACCGGTGAGGATCCGAATATACAAGAATGTAGTACAATATTCGGTCTTTCACCGACGTATTTGGTGAATGTTGATATTCTCCGGTGAAAGTCGACATTCTCCAATTTCGGTCTTTCACGGTAACATATATATATAATTACAAAACAATTCTTTTGAAAACCACATAAAGAGAGAATTCAATTGATTTCAATTTTCCTCCCCCCCCTGATGAAGTAGTATTGAAGTTGATTGAATTGCTCTTCTGTTTTTGTTCATTTTTCTTTAAATTTAATTAATGTTTTTAAATGGGATCTTGCTTGTTTGGTTTTAACATTTTTAACTTCTCTGTTGCATTTATTTGAAATTTATTAATTATGAATTTCAATTTTTGGTCTTTGTGAAGTATTAGTTCTAAATTTCTTACTTTCTATATATATATGTAAGATGAAAAATATGTAAATCAGCTTTAAATTTAATCTAATTTAATAATAGCCTCTCTTAACTCCTCTGTTTTAATTTGGCTATTTCCTCTTTATTCTAAAAAAAAATTAATAACATTTCATGTGCTTAAAGAATTTAAAATTTTTCCTTTATTTGCTTTAATAAAAGTAAATAATTTAAACAGAAAACTTTTAAGACTATTCATGCAATATTTATTTAATAATACTAAAGTATCATTATTTTCTAAAATGATGCAGCCATTTCCACTATTTTAGAAAATCACATATTACACTCATGTCCATAAATTAAGGATAATGCAAAATCAGGCAAAGGAAGAGTTAGAAGCAAAACAAATTTGACTTATTTGTAAAGCTTATTTATTAAACAAAAGGTAAAGAGGAAAAAAATGCTATATGTTTGATATTATTAAAAAAATTAGCGATTTTTTCTCCCTGGAGCAAATTACAAAAACACTTTTTGCAAAAAACCAATATTACATGGTTGGTATGATTGTTAATACATTGTATGTCTCCCAGACTATGCAATACAGTCCGTACAACACCTAGGCATGCTGAGTATCAAATTATCGATCTGATCTTGGGGGGATATTACACCACTCAAAAAGCAATGCCCTCCGAAGTTCCGGTTGACATGTAGGAGGAGGTTGACGGGCTGCAACTCGTCGGCCAAGCATGTCCCACACGTGCTCTACTGGATTCAAGTCCGGTGAGAATGCTGGCCAGTCCCATACGGGTGATATCCTCCGATTGAAGGCATTCGCTTACGATGCTTGCACGGTGAGGACGGGCGTTGTCATCCATAAACACAAATTGTGCGCCCATGGCGCCCCGAAACAAACGTACATGTTGTTCCAGAATGACGTCCCGATAGATTTGGCTTGTCATGGTTCCAATTTGAACATGCAGGTCAGTTCTGGAGCCCAGAATAATTCCACCTCAAAAGAGCACTCCTGCACCACCGTAACGATGATGTTTTCTTGGTTCAATGATGTTTTCTTGGTGGTAACGGGTACCTGGAGCTCTCCATATGAAAGTCCGACGAGAATCAGACTGCAAGCTAAACCTGGACTCGTTGGAAAACATCACACAAGTCCACTGTTGCGGTGTCCACAATGCATGCTCTCTACTCCAGGCTAACCGCAGACGACAATGAGTTGCAGTAAGTGGAACGCATCTGATAGGTCTACGAGCATATAGACCAATCTGCCCTAAACGTCTGTACATGGTCTGCCTTGAAATTGTCGTACCAGTGGCTGAAGAGAGCTGACGAGACAGGTCTGAGGCTGTGCTCCGCCTGTTTCTTTTGGCAGTAACTGCCAAATACCGGTTCTCATTCGGCGTTTTAACTCTGAAGCGACCTGTGCTGTAACGTCTACTCACATTACCATCATCTTGGAATCGTTGCCAATGCCGGGAGATGACACTCTGGCAATTCCAAGTTCGTCTGATACTTCCAGTTGGTTACGCCCACATTCCAGACTGCCGATAATTCTACCACGTAAAAAATCATCCAAATGCGTCCTTTGTGTCATAACTATTCGTTATTGCACTGAAATGCTTATAAAACGCCTGCGAACAATTTTACTTCTTTGCCTGTATTCCTTATATATCACTCTCTTACACTCTCGTCATTGTGACGTACCATCGGTGTCATCTGGTTACTTCCTGAAATTTGCATATGATTCTTGAAGATGTGTGTAGTGATTTTACAGGTGATATATTTATTTTAGAGTTCAATTTCCGCGTGACTCCGAATTATCCTTAATTTATGGACATGAGTTGTATTTGCGAGTAAATAGTGAAGTTACTTACACGTGAAGTATACCGTCTTTTTTGTCCCTTCTGCCAAGGTAACTTAAAGTAATCTGTGCAGTTTGTTTTATATGGTAAAGGAAGGAGGATGACTGAAGACTGAAAAAACAATTAAACCACAATAAATTAAATAGTAAACAGGACAGACATTATTTCATTTAAATAACATATGTTTATTATTTACTTAAGTTTGGTGTAACAAAAACTGAGAATTTTGCGCTTTCATTTAGTAGAAAACGTAAATAGATGTTCTATTGTCTGCTTGTTGTGTAAATGCGTTTGTCTTTTAAAGCCTTTTATTAATAATTACTTTGTAGTAGGATTCTTATCTTAAAATTAAACATTTTATGCCCAAAGAGTTAACCTCTTAATTTTAATTTTATTACTTATGCTTAACACTAAAGTTTAATTTTTTTTTTAAATTTCAATAGTGTTAAAAATGGTAAAATTCGTTTTATTTTTAAACTTTGCAGTTTAATAACGATACAATCATATAGAACTGAACCAAGTTTTATGGCATTTCAAATGCATATCTCACCCTGCTTTCGAAATTTATTACCATAAAGAAAACGATGCGCCAATACACTGAGCTTAATTTACTTACACTTAATTTTCGTCTGAAGCAGAATAATGCAAAAATATTGTTTAATTTAAAATTCAAGTTTGAATTTATTTATTTATAACTAGCCACTACGCGGCCAGCCTTTGTCTGGCTTAAATGTACGAGAAAAATGCCTAAAGAGAACACCAAACATTAAATTTAAGAACTGCACAGAATCTTAATCTGCAGAACATTATCAATAAAAAAAATAAAAAAATGACAAAAAAAGAAAATCTGAAAGGTTTCAGATTTTAAATTACGTCGAAAGGGGCGTTTTATTAACATTTTCTCTGTTACCTTTATTTATTAAATATCACGTTCTTCGCACTTAAAAATTCAGTTCAAGACCAATATCGCAAAATAGTTAGTTAGTTAGTTCTGAGCACTGGCTCCCAGCAAACCTAGCAGGCGAAACCTGCCATATGGCTATGAGGAGACAGTCCAAGCCACAAAGGCATAACAAGAAAAAAAAAAAAAACATAAAGTAGATACATACATTCCAAACACTCTCGGTGAAATAGTATATAAATGTGTCCTTTCCATTTCTGTGTTTTTTTCCAAGTTTAAAAACTTTATAAGTTTTACTTTCAATTAGTTACATTCAAATCTTCTTTATATTATCAAAATTCATCTTAAATGTATAAGTTGCCTCAATTATTTCTGTTTTCAGTATGATTTTCTGCTTTGTTATATTCTCGATACCAATATTCTTCTTTATTCACAGTTTGCATAATATCTCTTACAAATTTTCTAAACGATTTATAGTTATTAAATAAATCCTCAAACTTCGCAAATTTATATTTTTCTCTCACACTTCCAGTCAGGCAACGGTCCTCGACGAAATGCTTTGAATCGCCGAATTTATTACAAACTTTACATATATCATTTTCCTGGAGGTGGAATTTTTTTAAGTAAGCAGGGAACCTTCCCTGTGCAGTGAGAATTCGATTGACATCTGCATCTCCTAAAATTCCCATTTTTTTTGCTAATTTTTAAACATTTTAGATAGTTTTTATTTCTTTGAGAGAGAGATCCCATAAATTTTTCCAATCTCTAATGAGCTTGTCATATATTACAGTACATGTCTTCTTTTTCGAATCTTGAATAAAAACCTTTTCGGTCCCAACCCCCAGGAAGGCTTCTTTCGCTAGAGCATCAGCTCTCTCATTCCCATAATGACCAGCGTGAGCTTTGACCCAATGCAAATTCAAAATATGCTTCTTTCGTAGCTCTAAATATATATGCTTAATTTCGTTAGCAATATTATTCTTTTGAAAGGGGCGGGAGAGCGTCATAAGAGCAGATAAGGCATCTGAGTATAAATTAATGTAATAACCCACGGATAATTTCTTGATCCAGGATAAAGCCATTTTAATTGCCAACAATTCTGCTTGATAAACTAAATTTCTTGGTTTTAAATTAAACATTTTGTAATCAATTTCAATACCGTGGAAAAATACAACAAAGGCACAGCCGATGCTCTCCGCAAACCCTGATCCATCTGCATAAATTTCAATTTCTCCAGCTGAAATATACACTGACTACCAATAAGTATTTAGACACCTGTGATAGAAAAGAAAAACTAACTTTATTCAAAATCAATAGTTGGTAGAGCCTCCACGAGAGGTAATTACAGCGTGGACCCTCCGGGGCATACTTCCCACAAGTCTTTGTATGACAGCTAGTGGCATTTTCTTCCACTCGGCTTGTAGAAGACATAGAAGTTCCTTCACCGATTTTGCACGGGTAGTACACCCCTGAATTCGGCGATGCAACTCATCCCAGAGGTTCTCGATAGGGTTCAGGTTGTTATGAAGAAAAAGTTTCGAGACCATGGTTAGATAGCTTTACTTCAAGGTACCATTGTTAAATAAGAAACTCCTATATGTTAAATGTTAAATATGAAACTACTTGCCGTGAAAAGGTTTCTACTTCTTCTTAGGGAGGAAAATTAAACTCTTAAGAATTTTCCAACTAACAAAATTTTAGTGATCGTATAGTGAAACGTGTACAGCATTTTTGCGTTGTGAAAAAAAAAATGCATCCCGGGACCGCGCCGTGAGAGGATCGAATAACATAAAACATATACAAGATATAAAGGAAAAGTTCATATTAAATATATAAAGAAAACATACTGTAAGAGGTTCCAGATTAAATATCAGTTTATTCAATTACATCACAATAAGAAAAATCTTAACCTCATCTGAGAGTCTTTTCATTTAAATTCATAAAAAAAACTGGAGGTTTGTCTGGTAATTCAAAAGAAAGGAAAGGGAAACAATTTAAGGCCTGAGAGTTAAATTTTAGATTCGACGTTGTTTTTACTGCTAAGGACGTTTTTGAAAAACTTGCCTAAAGTTCAAACACACCAAAAAAAAATAAAACTTATCTTGAGGGGACATCTTGAAGTGGAAGACTCTTATCTTATCAAGCGTTGATGTCGGCCGGGCTCATCTTGACACTGGTTCTAAAAATGTAGACTCCATTTCACCACTGTAGAACAGAAACAGGAGCACTGCTGCCCAGGACGGCTATCCGCTTGGTCTTGAAAGTCTAAAGTCCACACGCAGGTAACTCGTTCAAATTTCGCCTCTTTACCAGCACGCCGCACGGAAGAGTGTTTTCAGCTTCAGGCCAGAACCGTTTTTTTTCTAGGCAATTACGGCTCGCCTGTTCTTACTCATCCCAAGGTACTCACCCCATTTAAAGGTATTCACAAATTTTATTCTTTTTTGATCATATTTCAATCTGCATTTCATAATTTTTTTTTTTTTTTTTTTTTTTTGAATTGGGGTATTGATTGTATTATAAGTTTTGGATTTTACATTTATTAAATTCTTTGTTGCATTTATAGGATTATTTGAAATTTATTAATTGTGAATTTCAAACTTTTTGGTCTTTGTAAAACATTAGTTCTAAATTTCTTACTTTATGTCTTTAATCATAATTTTCAGAAACTTAGAGCGCAAAAATACTAGGCATTTTTATATTTCAATATCAAAATGGATATTTTCCTTGAAATACGATGCCTGAATTTTTTCGCGATTACAATACTTACTTTTTTACTTCGTACAAGGAAGTAAAAATGAAGATTTAATCTGCCTTCGCCTCCAATTTCCTAGTCATTATGGATCAACATATCTACGACATCCAAATTCCTCCTGGTCATTACATCTGAGTTTGTTTTTATTACATATATATAAATTCAAAATAAAGCAATTAAAAGTAAACCGAAAAACGTATGACTTGCGCTAAAGCTGCAAAGTAATAAACCAATAATTTATAATAAGAAAACTTTCCATATACCATTTCCAAAGATTTCAATTTAAAATCATGAATAAAAAAAAGTTTTAGAATTTAAATTGGTATTTTAAATAGTTATTTCAAGTATTAAGTGATGGAAGTAAAACGGTTGTTGTAAAATGCAGTTTTCTATTTAAAAAACATTTAGCCTAAATAGTTTAGCCTTAGATTGTAATTCGAGCTGCTAAGCGAAAAATACTTAAACGTTTACTAAAAAAAGAATAGAACGTAAAACTAAAGACTGAGAGTTCGTTTTATTGTGTTGTCTTTCGGATATGAAAGCTTGACTTACCGAAGAAATCAAAAAAGTAAAAACAACTTTGTGATAGCAGTATGTGTCCCATACTATAGGATAAAATTTTGTCTTATATTATAGGGTGGGACATCTAACTTTTGGAATTTCATTCGGCTATAAAAAAAATTAATGAATATTTTTTTCAAAATTATGAGTTTATTAGAAAGATTGGACATTTTCATTTAAGAATGAAACACAATATCATTCAAATGACTGCCACGGCTGGCTTGACACTACCCCATCCGATCAACCCAATGTTTCAGTACATTTTCGATTGGGGCCCACCAGCGGCCGAGTGGTAAAGACGCTAAACACTGGTAATTCGGTCTGAGGTTCGAATCCCGCGAACGGGCTGGCTGCATGGGCGTTTTCGTGGTTTTCCCCATGTGTAACGTGTATACGAGCCAGTTTCCTTTAGAAAGTCATCCATGAAGGCATCCCTCCGTTTAGGCAGATAGCCCTAGTGTGCTTTGCGTTAAATTAATAATCCTAATAATCCAATCCAATTAGTTAGAAAAAAAATAACGTAACAATATAATTGACCACTATGTTGGCTGTAACTGTAATTTCAGTCTCTTATTGCTTTCTAGAAATCTGGAGAAGCAGAAAGTACTAGAAATATCTCGCGACCAGTTGAAAGCAGTAAAAGGCCTGAGACAGCGTCTGGGTTTAGTTTACTGTTGTTGCGAGGTGTTTAGTTCCGCGTGAACTCGGGTTTCAGAATTAGCTTTCTCTTTAGATACGCTGTGCATTGCGTTGTGTTTAACGGTTTTAGTAGCTTGAAGTGTAACTCCTGATTATATTCTGTGATACTGTCAACACATGCAGCGAATATTTCTGTCGAAAATTCCAGAGTTCTGAAATATTTCTTTTGATAAAAATAAATGTTTATTAACTTATTATCGGACTTGTGCATATAATTTATTGCGAAACCGTACACACGTAACAATACATTTCTAACAGAGAAAGAACTCTTAGTTAATAATGTTACACATATATATTTCTACCTGTAACTACGGGCCCACCAGCGGCCGAGCGGTAAAGTCGCTGAACATTGGTAGTTCGGTCCGAGGTTCGAATCCCGCGAACGGGCTGGCTGCATGGGTGTTTTCGGGGTTTTCCCCGTGTGTAACGTGTATACGAGCCAGTTTCCCTTAGAAAGTCCTCGACGAAGGCACCCCTCCCTTTAGGCAGATAGCCCTCGTGTGCTTTGCCATAATTGAATAATCACATTTTCGATTGTGTGGGCTCCAGTCGCATGAAGGGTGAAGGGCAACTTTGATTTCGTGTTTCAAGGTATCAATCTTTTTTTTGTCCAAATACCTATGTTAGAATAACGCTTTATATAAATCTAATTTATATCCTAAGTCGAGCGTTCGAGATATGAAAAACGCAGGTTGAATTTCGTCAATCGGCCCATTAGAACGGGAGATATAGAAGAGTCCTTTTTTTGGGAGGGAGCGCAGTGTACATTAATATACCCTGTTGATATTGTTCAGTATAATGCATTTGAATAACTTCTTATATCCAAAATTCTAAAGCAAACATTCTGTACAAACTCAGAATCACAATGCATAAAACACTGCTAAAATCCTCATTCGGTACAGTCAAAGTCTCTCGACAGGGTCTCTTTAATGATATAGAAACTGTGTCCCCCCCCCCCGCAGTGTACATCAAAATCATTCAATATAGCATTTTCTTTCTTTCGAAAAATATTAAAGTTCGAAACATATTTAGATCGCTCTTCAGAGTTCGACTATTTATTATACAAGTATATAAGGGGAACTATTCGAGGGAGACCCAATCCGCCTTGTCCCAGCGGGACCATATGATTAAAAATAGGTCAACCCTCCTCCAAACCACGCCGACAAAACATCACAGAAAACATAAAATAACCAACCAAAAATAAAGAAGGGTTAGTAGAAAAACTAAAGATAAGAAAATGACACAAAACACAAACAAACACTTACGCAATCAAACAATCACAGACAAAAACACTCACAGAGAGGCTGTTTCTGTAACATAATAAAACTCGCTTCAAACCATAAAACAACATAAATAACTAAGCACCTCAAAGGTTCATTGGGGAATTCCCAAAAGGAAAAGAACCTGCAGAAGGTCACACCAAGGTCGCACGCAATAAGGTGTTCTATAGTTAAAAATGCAATAGAAAATAATTATAATCTGACAGCAATATTAATTTTAACTTTGCCACTTAAAGCCCCGGTTAGAGCAGAACAAAATAACTACATCAACAAGTAAAATAAAATACAAGTAGAATAAAATACAACTACAAGTAAAATAAAATACAACTACTACCAATGATCGTTAAATTGATAAAATTATCTTAAAAACATATAAAATAATTTAAAAGCCAATAATTCAATTAAAATATTTAGATTATGGTCTATGATGTTATGTTATTACAGAGTGCCTAAACTGTATATATGTACTGTAAGCATATGTTTAAATTTAAAAAAAAAACAGACAATACACCATACAATACATACACATGAATAATACATAAAGGGAAAAAAATTAGACAAAATAATTGAAATATTTAAAGACATAATTTAAACTAATACACCAAATGTCACTCTATTATTGTTTATATAAGACATTGCATTTCTAGAGAATCTTTTTAAAGTTTCAATACCTAATGGTTTATCACTAAAGCATTCGATTCTCAAATCCTTTAACAATGGACAGTGATTGAGAAAATGTTCTGCGTTCCCAACTACATGACAAACGCCACATAAATCTGAATTTTGCAAACCAAACCTAGTCAAGAACTGATTCAGATCTATATCGCTAATCGGCTTCATTTCGTTTTTAATTTTAATATGCTGCAATAAACCCGCGCACCTCTCAGACTCTTTCCATTGTAATGTCCAGATATTCAAATAAAAATTTTTCATATTTCTAATAGCATAGCTTTTCGAACCGGACGTCTCAAAGAATTCAACTCGTTCATCATAAATGGCTTGTTTTGCCAACACGTCGGCTCTTTCACTTCCGGTAAAATCAACATGGGCCTTATATAATAAGTATATTAAGTATATACGGTATTTCCTCACTCCTTTCTGCATGCCTTCGTGGTGTAACAGTTAGCACACTCGGCGCCTATTCGAGAGGTCCAGGTTCGAGTCCTGGCGAGGGCATTGCACATTTTCACATCTCCTGCTTAAAATAATTTATTGTCTTTACAAGATATTATCGGACGGGAACAGCAGAAGCTCCACGAAAAGTAGATCTATATATGGCAATAAGCACGGATCTAGAGGAAATTATTTTCCACTCAAAACATACTTAGTGAAATCGTATAACTACAATTTGAGTACTAACATTGAAACGCCCCGTAAGCATATTTCACAAGTGCACATCAGTGTAACCACCGAGGGAGGGGTTTCGAAAATGGACCAATGAGCTGCTATTGCTCTTGTGACGCTAAATCTTCGTGCATGTGAGCGTATGTTGTTTACGTTTTAATTCGCATTTGTTTCGCAGTTATAAATATATGGCGTAATAGTAGAAAATCTTATAGTGCTTTCGTTTCCTGAGTTTGATTAATTGCTGACATTTCACTTTCGCAATTTTTATCACGCATTAATATTACGATTGATGTTTTCACTGCATATTATGTGGATTAAAAGAATTCAAGTGTATATATACGTATATATATTTTTTAATTGAGCTGAGAATGACTGAAAGTGTTACAATGAATCTAGTGTTTTCTTATTTCAGTGCTTGCATTCTTTTGATTTTTAAAGTGTAAGCACATATAATCTGATTACATCCATTGTTAACATCAAAAATTATATGTGAATAAATTGAATATACTCCTTGTGAATATGACAAATTTATTCTGTTTGATGAGTATTCTTGTGTAAACAGTACATTTAAGAGTGAGCATTTATTAAATGTGAAATTTCACGGACTAAATGTATACGAATGCAAATTAGTGAAGTTCACTTTAAATAACATTCTGCATTGATTATTATTGTTACGGATTTGGTATTTAAATAGCTAATGTTAGTTGAAATATAAATTAAATTGTTTTATTCCCCGTGCAGTGTGACACGTGACGAATATTATACGAAAGCTAAGCCGGAAAATTAAAAATACAAGAGCACGTGCATTTAAAATTTAATAAACAAACATCTCTTTTTGATTTCGAGAAAGTTCCAGAAAATTCGCGCGCGAGATTTAAAATCTTATAAAAAGGAGGAAAACTCTCAGTTCGTGGTGATTTTAGTTAGTTTGTTGTTGTTTTAAGAGTTTGTTTAGAAAACTGCTCTTGTTGACTGTAGGGAATTCGGGGATTAGCTTTCTCTAGCTGTTTTGAATTAAGTTCTCTTGAACGTTGGAGTAGTTAAAAAGTAACTACTGTGAGATATTGTAATTCTGCACGAATATTTTAGAAAAGTTAAGCATATTTGTTGTGATAATAATAAATTTTTGTTCATTTTTCATCGGACTTGTGCATTGATTTCGTAACGAACCCGTACGCACGCAACATTATTATAGAACATCCTTTTCATATAGAGTGCAATAAAAAGTGCTGACTTCTATTCGCATATATAATTGGTGTAAATATTTTTCTCATACGCATAGTTTTATATAACGATTACATTTTGGTTCAGATGGTTATCACATATTTCTTTCTTCATCTTATTTACCACTTATTAAGTAATATTTCACATCGATATTTTTGCGAAGTATCCAACATGCGTTTGTATTAATTTAAGCAGGTAGTGAAATCTTCATTATTTCCTATATTTGATCTAGCACGCAATGAAAAGTTTCAAACACAATCGACGATGCTTATTTTGTACAGAAAATTGCGTGGCAGAATATTTTCAGCCATCTTGCTTAAATCTTAAAGTACGCCAAAAGTCATGTGACATGACAGAAATATTAATGGATCTCATTGGTCCATTGTAGAAGCCACTCCCTCGATGGCTACACATATGTGAGCTTGTGAAATATGCACCCCGTAATGCCAAAAAGCTGAAAATTGGTAAATTTGTGTTGTATATTTACTCGATAAAATGGCTGCGTTATTGTGTTTGAATTGCTGCACTTGCTCAGAATAATTTTTAACGGTGAAAGGAAGGTATCACGCTTTAACTTTAAATATAACTAGTCTCTTTTATGTCAAAAATCATTGCGATAATATTTAATACGTTTTGCGATGAAAGTAAACCATACCTTCTGAACGGCAAGCGTGTAGGAATATCCAGTTGACAGTAACACACCTTCTGTATGGATATCGGGTAACGTAGACTCATCATGAACAGTCACAACTACACCGGGATGTCTTCTTTTTTCAGTCATCTCTTCATATTCGATATCTATCAGCACTGAAAGATCTGAAAAACATTAATGAAAAGGTCATAAATCTAACGGTCTAAACCCTCGAAACAGCAACTTAAAGGCTGATAGGGATTTTAAACTAGTTTTATTGATTATGAAACGTATTCCATCAAGAAAGTGAAAATGGCTTTCGCTTTAGAATGGTAAATATTCTCTCGTGCATATATGTATACTAGAAAGCCCGGCGGTCATACGAAATGACCGCTGTTCTAGATATTATAAATTGTAATTAAAATTATTTGTGCAAAGGTGTCTGCTAATTTAAACTGAATTACCCAGGGCAGGCGGCGAGGACACCCCTTTGCTTACTGCCCCACGGGATTTTCCCCTTCTACTTGCTTAACTGCTTAAAGTAGAATACAGTGAAGGAAACCACTGGCGGTACATTTCTTAAGAGCCCACCGCTAGCTCAATCAATAAAGGTGATTTAAATAATGAAATGTTAAGTTATCAGGTTCAAAGTTTCTTCTACTTTCTTCGGAAACATACAATGACCTGACTAGAACAGAGAGCTTACTAAAGCTATGTTCACTAATTGTAGTAAGTGGACAGGATACAGACGAAGGGTATACAAAACCCTTTATTTTTTTCTTTATATACAATGACTTCCGTACTTCGGAATACAATGACCCTCCACTCGGGGTCTAACTTAAAAGATATCAAAATAAAACTAAACTCTAATTTAACTTTAGAATAAGATTGGCCTTATAATAACAGAAAGCGTATGTAGCACAGAGACTGTGAACACTACAATACGTTTAATTTATCAAGAGGATTAAAACCTCTGGCCTGGAAGGCAAAGTAGCAACTGCGTAACTTCTAAGGTAAGCGGCCTGCTTCGAACTCACGGCTTCCTCTCTTTCTGCTTGGCAAAAAGGCCACACTTAAATACTTGGCGTTCGCCAGACAACTTTGCATAAACTCCTTCACGCTTATAATTCTGGCCGGAAGTAGAAAATAAGAAGTGATAGTAAAGATTTAAAATAAAATAAACGTTAGTAAAACTTAAGATCCTTACATACTTCCCGCCAGAGTTAATTAGTTTGAAACTGAGGTCTAAAACGACCTTGTTGAAAACTTTTAGCTCTAGAAACTAACGCGAGGCCAAACTTTTACAAACATAACTTAGCTAGAAACTAGAAAATTTTAAAAGAAAGAAATTTGTTACAATAGCAGCTCCCGGAATATACAACAATCTTTTTTCTTTTTCATCTGTACTGCATCTGCATCAAAACAGGAGCTTTATTCAATTCTGGTTCCTTCCAGAGATCTGGAAGGAAAACTAGTTTAATGAAATGTTACAGAATGACATTGTAAATAACATATAGAATATACTTTTCTTAACTTAACATTCTTATTTCATTCATGACTATTTTAATTATCTCTCCCCGTGCTCTCTGACATGTGTTGTAAAAACACCAAACACGAATGTGTTTCTGTCTATGTGTTCAACACTTCCTCCTACAATCAAAACACTAACGTGTTAAAATTCAACATACGAGACCTCTTAACACACCCTAATTTCAACTCTAGACCCTGAGGTACTATTCTGAAAGTGGCTAACTCTAAAGTGTAGCGTCAGAGAGCCTAACTACATCATTCAACCTTTAACACATATTCAGCATGATTTAATCTTTACAGTCACACGAATAACAAAATTTTTTAACATTACTTTCACTTTTACCATATCACGGTATTTCTAAACATTCAAAATAACAGTTCACATGTATACAAGAACATATGAAGATGCCGTTAATTTTACACATTTGAAAACATACATTAGTAGTACATTGTTAACTTCTATTCTTTTCAAAGCAAGTGCCAATTCTTTCTACATTGAAATAATACTACATTTCAAAAAGTCTTTCAGACTAAAACTTCTTTCTTGTTAGAATGTTTTAAATAAAATTTATACAATTTAAGTCTTTATACAACGCTATTATACATCAACTTTAGTTTTACGCGCGAGTAATTGAAAAACATAATAAGAAAATCGGTCACAACTCATTTCTCGCCCTTTTGGCGATAAAGGTAGACCTCGCATGAGGTAAAACTTCTTCAAATCTGCCACTTGCAGTAAGAATGAAAGATTAACTTAAGTTTGTAAAGTAACACAAAATTTTACTTATCTTTGTAATATTCAGACATCCTTTTCTGGGCCCAGTCTTTAAAGGTGCTGCAGACCGTTGCTTGGTTGATCCTCCTTCTTGTACGGGCTCGCCCTTCAGTGCTTTCCTCTGGAAGCTTCCGTTTTTCACCACTACCACTACGGCCACCCTTGAACATCTTCCTTCTGTCCTCTGCTTGTGGTCTTGGCCGCTTGAAGGCAGCTGGTCTTGGTGGAACCGGGAAACTTCTGTCGTGATCCTGCTTGGACCTCGTTGTTGGCCGTTCAAATTTTTCTTGTACTTTTTCCTCCGCCGCTGATGGCCCTTCCGCAGTTCGGCGACTTTTGCTGCGGAGAGTTCTGTCGGATGAGTCAATCTTCCGTTTCACAGCCGGGTTATAGTTGCCGTCCTTTCTCCCGGTCTTTTCCACATACGTCGTCCTTCTCCCTTCTTCATTCTGGGGGTGTTCGTGAACTCTGTTTTTTGGACGGTGGAACGGCTTCTTTTTCTTTTTCTTTGTACCTTCAATTTTTCCGCGGGGCAATTTTCTTTTCACTTGCTTCTGTCTCTCATTGGCTTGCCCTTGTACTTGTCGTTTTCCCACCTCTGGAACTTGTACCTGCGGTGTCTGCCGTACCGGATCCTGCAAAAGATCTGAAAAGATTTGCATTTTATTACGGTCATAGAATGGTTTTATCTGGTCAATGTTTGCGGAACAGGTTTCGCCATTTCTTGCCTTTAATACTACAACAGCGTGAGTTATTTTTTCTATAACATATGGTCCTTCAAAGCGTGGGAAAAAATTTGGCAGTTTTATCTTCTGGTGCTGAAGAAAGTGAATGCTTAATTTTTAGTACTTCATCCCCTACTTTATAAGTTACTCCCCGTCGTTTCAAATCATAATAGAGCTTCTGTTTTCTTTGTGCTACTTCCGTATTCTTCTTTGCTTCCTTAATTAGTTTTTCTATATCACCCATTTTAAATTCTGGGGCTCTTTGTTGCACATAAAATAATTTATCTAACGGTGTTATAATCTTTCTGCCTAGAAATAACTCAGCAGGAGTTTTGCCCGTTGTATCATGTTTTGCGGTCCTAAGGGCGAAAGCAAATTCATTGACATAGTTATCCCAGCTTTTATGAAAATTTTTAACATAACTAACTACGGATAATTTTCACTATATTTCTGTTGACCCGTTCCGCTATATTTGATTGCGGCCGATACGGGACCATTTTTAAATGACGTATGCCCAGTTTTTGGCACATGTCTTCAAATATATTACTTACAAATTGAGGACCATTATCCGATATAACTTTTAGGGGCGCCCCGTATTTTAAAATATATTTATTTAAAATAGAATCGGTAACTAATTTCGCGGAGGCTCGTTTTAAGGGAACAATTTCGGTCCATTTACTAAAATGATCAACTATAACAAGGAGATAGCGACTTTTGTTTAACTGACTTTTTGGGAAAGGGCCCAATAAATCGATACCGATTATTTCATTTGGAAATTCGGATTTAATACTATTTAGAAACCCGGCCGGGCGGAAATTAATATAATTAACGGCTTGACATGTTGGGCAGGACTGGACATACGCCCTTGTTAACTTTTGCAGTTCAGGAAAGTAGACTGCCTCGCGTACGCGTTGAGTAGTTTTTCGAATACCAGCATGAGAAGCTAAAGGGCTGTCATGGAGCTCTTGCAGGATATTTAATCTAAGACTAGCTGGGATAACAGGTCGAAATTCGTTGTTGGAATTCGTAGTTTTTGTATAAAATAATAGACCATCTATTAGTTCGTAATGGGCCGCCCTATTTCTTATCGCCACAATATCTTGGTGGCTAAAATTTTCAGGATCCTTCAAATACTCATAAATACTTCCAAACTCAGGATCCTTACCCAGTTCGGTTATTACAGTTTCTCGGGAATTTATTGTACACGCTGTCAGCATTGCAACTTTTACGGTATTACCCTGTTCGTCTAATTTAATTCGTGACAGGGCATCTGCTACGATATTTTCCTTTCCGGGGGTATGCTTGATTACCAGATTATATTCTTGCAGCTTGAGTGCCCATCTTATTAACCTTGGGGATAAATTTTTTCCAGAGTACAATCTAGTTACCGCCGCATGATCAGAATATACTGTTATCGGCGCCTTTCCAAAATAGACTCGGAACTTTTGCACTGCTAACAGAACTGCAAGTGCCTCTCTCTCGGTCGCGGAATAGTTTCTTTGTGTTTGATTTAAAGTTCGGCTAAAAAATGCTACTGGCTGCTGATTTTGCGAAAGTACCGCTCCTACCGCATAATCCGAAGCATCCGCTGAAATTTCTAAATTTTCATCCTTTTCAGGAAATTTCAACACAGGGGCTTGCGTTAATGCTTGTTTTAATTTTTCGAAAGCACTATTGGCTTCGGCCGTCCACGAGAATCTTGCCTTTTTCCTTTTTAATTTTAACAATGGCTCAGCGATAGCCGCAAAATCTTTTATAAAGGACCTATAATATGAACAAAGTCCTAGAAAAGAAGAGAGCTTCTTTGCCGTGTTTGGAGTCGGATACTTTTGTACAGCGATTATTTTTGATTCATCTGTCTCGATCCCTTTTTGCGATATTTTGTAACCTAAATATTTTAATTCAGGGGCTGCAAATTTGCATTTTTCGACATTAACTTTTAGACCGGCCTCATTTAATAAAAAAAAACACCTGTCTTAAATCCTGTACATGTTGGTCTAGATTATCACTAGTAATAATGATATCGTCTAAATAGATAAATGTGGACTTTCCGAGAACAGGTCTTAACACAATGTCCATGCATCGCTGAAATGTTGCTGGGGCGCCTGAAAGGCCAAACGGCATTCGCAAAAATGCATAAGTGCCAGACTTGGTT